GGTCCCATCCTTAAGACATAGTGTATGCAAATATTCCAAAATCTGGAAAAAAAATCCAAATTCAAAACATTTCTGGTCCTAAGCTTTTCAGATGGAGATACTCAACCTGTAATCAAGCTTCCTTTGCTACAGGTGTCAGTGAGAGGATTCCCTTCCTGGATCATCTCTGAGTCACTTGTTTCTTCCTAGTCACTTGTACCCTTGGTAGTCAATGGTCAGTTACTTCCCATGGAAATTCTAGCTTTCTTTCTCAGTTTACCCATCTGCTTGGGATCCCAAGGATTCTCCATTTCAGGGTGTACAAATAGTGCCAGATGCAAAAAACACTTTTTTCATGCCTTCAATTTCCTAAACTCTTAAAACTAATGAACTTTAATAATATCACCAATGATAATTAAAATCCCCAATTGTGGATATATGTGTCCACTGGGAAGCTGGATAGAAAGATTACCCTTGGGTTATACATATACATCATAAGAACCAACTGCAGGTAGTGGCAACTCCCACTTCTTAAAATGCCTACAGGCGTAGACTAATGCTAACCTTGCAGACACCATTACTGACTGAGCTGTAAAGTCGAGTAATCTTTATGGTGATTTTTATATTAGAACTATGTGTCTGGAAAGTGTTCCTGTGGCACATGGCTTCTTAGGTCATCAGGAAGGAGATTGAATGATGACTAGAAGAAACAGATTAATAATAAAAAAGAAGCTTGAGTACAACTGTGGACTTAGAAAGCTATAATGCCAAAGAAAAGTGGTTTACAGTGTGACCCTGAGTGACTGAGAGCTCCACAGTTGGCTAGCAGAGACTGTGGGCTGGGGGAACAGACCCCTCCCTAAAGGGCACAGGAGCAAGGATGCACCTCAGACCCAGACAGAAAGACTTCCTTCTGTGACCAAGATCACAGTCATATGCTTTGGCAAGGGCTGACTTTAGAAATAAAAATGAACCAAGAAATGGGATTGAAAGCAGTAATTAACAGCTAGGGGTGGTGGCACATGTCTGCAATCCCTGAATTCTGGAAGGTCAAGGCAAGAGGATCACCAGTTTGAGCGCAGCCTGGGCGATTTAGCAATTTAGCAAGACCCTGATCAAAATTGGAAAAAAAAAAAAAATTTAAAAAGGCTAAGGATGTAGCTCAGTGCAAGAGCCCTAGGTTCAGTCTCCAGTACTACCTCCCCACACACAAACACACAATTAAAAGGTTGATGATGATGATGATGGAGGGGAGGAGGAAGAGGGGACACCCTGTATAGAGCTCTCACAAAGGCCCAGTCACTGCTAACATGTCACAGACAGAACCTCTTGCTCACCTCCTGATAGTCTTGCAGCATAGGGACATCTCTCCGTTCAGTTGAGGGAAGCAACAATCAACGGAGTTAGCTTGCTCAAGGTCTCAGTGCTGGAAAGTGGCAGAGGTGGGATTTGTTATGTTTACAGCATTGAGTTACAGTGACTCACAAAACCCACGCAACCTTGCATAGGCAGATACACACATTCTGCAGTTTCCCCCTACAGTGGAAGTTTCTGCACAGAAGGCAGCCTGACTGTGTGTGCTGTTGTCAGAGGGATGGGCTGGCAGTTGAGGGGGACGAGAGGTGGACACTGGCAAAGGAGAAGAAAGGGAGGAAGTCCTGGCTTACCCTAAAGAAAAAAGTTACCCGAAGCCTTCGATTTCAAAATTGTTTCTGATGATCTTGTCACACCTCAGAAACTTATTTATAGCCATTGAACTCCTGACACATGGACCAGCTGGGGAATATTTTAGGAGTCAAGGAAAGAGGAACCACTGGTGATTACAAATTACCAATCCATTCCTCCCGACCCATGGATTTTACCTTCCTCTGCCTGGCCACTTTAGGATCCCCACTATAGAAACATCATCAACAACAACCATAAAAAAGCATTCACATTTACAAATACAAACAAAACCAGCCCCCTGAGGAAAATACGGCTGAGCTCTTGCCATTTCTTGGACTGGAAATCTGCTGGTTTTGTCCCTGGATTCCTCCTCATTAGAGCTATAACTTTGAGAGGATTAATTTTAATTTACACAGAAAGATTTCTCATCCATATCAAGATAAAAATTAGTAAGTACTGTACATACCTTGCCATTGGTTTGTTCTCTCACTAATTTAAAAATGTAAGGAAAGGAAACTAGAGGGGAAATTTTTGTTAACATTGCAAACCAACCTATTCTTCCTCCCCTTTTGGTAAAGAAATCTTTAAGTCATATGCATTCTTGGAGAGAATTTTCAAAAAACACTCAGCCCACAAGAATTCTGTTCATCCCACAAAATCTGCCTTGGTCCTGCATGGATTTGCTCACACTGGCTCATCCACTTCCAGCCCAGCAATAGTTTGCCTTTAATACCAGTAGGTTAGAATGACACAGACATCTGCCACATTAGGACACAACACATGTCAGGGCTCTCCTAACAGGAGCTCCGATTTGAAGTCATCATGAAAGGAACGGAACAAAAAGTGGTTCACATTTATTTAGTTGAACTTCATTAAGCTCCTTGGCTGATTCTTTTCAGGTTTTCTTTGGCTTATTTATTATTGGTTGTTTATTTGTTTAACTTATTATAGTTACTGTCTAGTATTTTTCGAGTTTCCTTGTTTACATTATGGAAACAAACACCGCCCAATATTTATTATGATGATTTACTATCTATGTGGCATAGTTTTTAAAAAATAAGATGAATTGTGGGATGGGGAAAAAAACCACAAATCAATTCGTTTGGAATGTCTCCATTTCTAAACAAGGAGGCGTGAAACTGCATCTTTCTCCTGGAATGAGGATTGCACCTGCTTCAGGTGACCAAGGTGGCTGCTGTGGACAAGCTGGGGCCCAGGGCTTCTCACAACTCAGTTGTGAAGCAGCACAGTGTAACTAACTGTTCCCAATTCCAGGCAGTACATGTTGTGCTAGTATCAGGTTATTTGTATTCTTAACCTTGTAGCATAATGTTAGGCTCTCCCCACACCATGAAATTCTGATAAGTCCTACATCATCACAGAGGGAAATGCTTTTTCTAACAAAAGGGAAAAAATACTGAAGTCTTTCCTTCTCAACCTAGCCAGGAAATGAGGAGATGACATGTCTACTTTAGAAACAATATTGTTGGTCTTTACACCAAATTTCTTTACTATGACAGTGGATAATTTAGCCCTGGAAAGGCAAAGGTGAATTAGGTCACTGGATCTACAAGTATAGAAATGCTCCAAAGCCAGGCATGGGGGCGCACACTTGTAATCCCAGCACTTGGAGGCTGAGGCAGGAGGATTGCCATGAGCTCAAGGACAACCTGAACTACATAGCAAGACCCTGTCTCCAAAAGAAAAAGAAATGAGGGGCCAGGGATTTAACTCATTGGCAACATACCTGCCTCGCAAGTGCAAGGTCCTGAGTTTGATCCCTGGTACCACCCCCCCAAAAAAGAAAAAGAAATGCTCCAAGAAGTTTTATTATTTGGGGGGTATTTAAAATCAGTTGAGGGACTGGGAATTTAGCTCAGTGGTTCCACCGCCTGCCTCGCAAGCACAAGGTCCCAAGTTTGATCCATGGTACCAAAAAATATATATATATATTAGTTGAAATCCTGGTAGCACTTAATACCCCTGGGTTTGTTCAGTCCTAGTACTACTGGAGGAGAAATATTGGTACCAGATTTTGGTTTAATTTTGCTAAGAAAAATGGGGAAATTATTTTTGTTCGTTATTTTATCTTTATTGTTTTGCATTTAGGTGTTGATATTTTCATCCAAAGCAAAAATGCAATTCAACTAACGTTAAGTGCCAGATACTAGAGAATTCAAAAGATATGAGGTGGTCCTTATTTTTGAGTTTTCATGACCACCAGGAAGAGCAAGTTGAAAAACAAGTTCAAATAACTACACTACAATAGAAAAAAATGTATAATTCAGGGTATGTATACTAGCTCATTAATATATAGTAGTTCTTCTTTATTCATAGGGAGTGGAAACAGCAAACAGTACTGCAAAGGTAACCTATGTATTATTCTGTTTTTTCCAGTACATACATACCTATGACAACTTAGATATGTATATAAATAAATAATAAATTAGGCACAGTAAAAGATGAACAACAATAAGAGAAAAATTATAACAAAACACTTTAGTAAAATTACCAACATCAATACTCATGCACTTTGGGCCATTATTAAGTAAAGAAGTGTCACTCAAACACAAGTCTGTTATACTGTCACAGTGGCTCTGATCATGGAGGCAGCAGCTGACTCACTGGTGGGCAGATAACACACACATGCAGCTGAGTGTGCTGGACAAAGAGCCGGACAGAGCGAAACAAAGTAAAATTTTATCATGCTGGTCAGAATGGTGGCGAAGTTCAAAATTTACGAATTTCTTATTGCTGGAATCTTCCATTTAATATTTTTGGGTCAATGTTGACCACAGGTAACAGAAAACTAAACTGCAGATGTTGATGATTACTATACATTGCTTCTTCAACAACTCATTCAGCCTAGAGAAGAGTACTAAGGCAGGGGAAACTAAAGAGATGTCACATGACTAGCAGGATTGACCAAATAAACATCATACGAAGGTTATTCCAAGCAGAGGGAAAGGTATGTGGAATTCTTCTCCTGTGATGAGGAGGTATGGAGGGGTAGAGTTAGAGTGATAAGAAAAGGAACTATGAAGAGAAAAAGACTGGAGGGAGAAGTCAACGTGGTGTGTTAGGTAAAACCTTCCTTGAGAAGGTAATTATTGTATAAATTCTTGACAAAATGCCTCTCAGTGCACTTATTGTTTGACAGGAAATGACTGATGTTTTTGACCTGGCATTTGAGCCAAGGGAAGCAAGAATGATACCTGGTCTTTATAATTAGTAACTGATACTTTATGAATACTTTGAAATGGTTGTCATTTATGTCATTCTGCACACAATTGAGAATTTAGTCTAATTACCAAAGCTGGTCATAAAACAAAAACAAAGATTTTTTTTTTCTCTAGGCTTGTTTGAGACAACAGGAAAATAGAAGAGACCCAAATGAGAAGAAACAAGATCAGTTTTGGGACCAAGAGACAGGTTCTGAGAGATCCTTGTTTTCAAGCAAGGCATCTTCCAAACAGGTATGGAGAATAATTATGGCAGACAGTCTCCTACTGCAGGGGAGGGGGTGGGGGAGGAAGAGAGAGAAGGAGAGGAAGAGAGACAGAGACAGAGAGGCAGAAGAGAGACTGACTTAGAAAAAGAACAACTCAGAAAGGAGGTGTTGCGGAATCCTGAAGGTGAAGGCAGGGAGAAGCAGGAGAAGGTGAGCCTTCCCACTTCAACGTGGTCTTCTTTGCTGTGGATAAATGGCCTGACACAAATGGTCTGTGGGATATCATCCAGATCAGAAATGCCAGAACAGGCCGGGGATTTAGCTTAGTGCTTTCATCACCTGCTGTGCAAGTGCAAGGACCCGAGTTCGATCTCGGTACCAAAAAAAAAGAAATGCCGGAACAATTTAATTTGAAGAGTTGGAAGCATTGTACCTTGTCCAGAACAGCGTCATGTTTGTGGTTCATGATCTAACCCATTGGATTATTAGTCAAGTTTTTACTTCAAATAAAGGAAGAAAGGGCCGGGGATTTAGCTCAGTGGTTCTGGTGCCTGCCTTGCAAGCACAAGGTCCTGAGTTTGATCCCCGGTACCAAAAAATAAAATAAATAAAATAAAGGAAGAAAGTAAAACACAGTGATAACTACACCATGTAATAACTGGCAGTTGTTCAAATTTTTTTGTCAAGGGTGATAATAACAAATAAGAGCAATATAATGCTAATAATAATAGCAACCATAGTAATTACCAATACACTATTTGAGTGCTTACAGTATTCTAAGTACTGTGCTAAGTACTTTATACATATTAGAATTTAATTCTTATAAATGTATTGTATATACACTTAGATGCATATATATCTATTTAATATAATGTATATTATATATATATGTACATATATATATTACAGATGAGAAAACTGGGCCTTAAGAAGTTAAGGAACTTTACCTTAAGATTTCACAGCCAGTATGTAGTGAACTGCTGGGTTATCCAATCATATTTCATGCTTAACATCTTATTTAAGAATTTTACTTATCCTATGTGAGAGCTAAGTACCACAAACTGCAGTCAAGCCTGGTTGTTAGCATGGTGAATTGATTTAAGATGAGTAATATGCCTTTTATGAATTCTTATTTAATATTTTATGTCTGAAATAGACTCTAGAGGAGGGACTCTCTTTCCTACTAGTGGCATGGATCCCTGAGATAGATCTCGGGTACTAAGTATCAATCAAGTTCTTATTGAGATTTCTTCTTTATCTAGGATGTTCGTATTGCAGTTATTTAATGTTCAAAGGATACCTGGGAGAGATATATACTCTCTGCTAAGGGATATAAAAATCACACAATAAAATATCCCACCTAGAGTCTGAAGGTGAAAGAGACCATTTCACAATATTGGCAGTTCCAGGAAAGATGTGTTTCCTGGATCTTTTCTTGTTAGTCAGGGACTAAATATAGTGTCTGCTGCTGATTAAACTTAGAGAATGAGATTAATCCAAAAATTAAATCTGGTTTGGCTAGAAAAACACATTTTTAGCACTAAGATAAATTCTTACATTTTTACACTTAGAAATAAAATCAAGAACAGATAAAATATAATGTAATTTAAGTCTAACTCTAGCATGTATCAATCTTCCTATGTTGGAATTACTCCTGTTTTCATGCCAAGATTCACCTGCAGAGGTGTGGCCATTTTGTATGGCTACATGCATGCATTTAGGGTGTTCAGGATATAACCTACCATTAATTCTGATATGTCAACTTCTTTGCATTAAGAAATGCCTAGCAGATTAGTAAAGCATCCTCCTGGGTGTGTCTGGGTGGGTCATGGAACATGGCCTTGGGTACTGGATGTGGTTCCTCTCCCGTTCTTCTCTGGTATTGTTCCCCTCCTTTGCTCTCAGCTGCCATGAACTAAGCAGCTTTACTCTGCCACACCTTTCTGCCATGATTTTCCTACCATTGAGCCAGCTGACTATAGACTGAATTCTCCCAAACTAAGCTAAATTAAACCTTTCTTCCTTTAAATTGTAGGTGTTGGGTATTGGGTCTCAGTGATGGGAAAGCTGACTAATATACAGGACTTGCACCAATTTGGAGGGACAAACTGGAATTAGAGTCCTATAGTTTTCTTGTTCCTGCTATAAAAATTACATACTTTCAATCATCATTGCAAAAACACTCAGACCACTTTCAAACAAGGACATGATTGTACATATAAAAGTATGTGAAATAGCTTCTATAATCATAAGTTACTTAGATCTGATTTTCTAACAATTTTATTACTCATTTACGCCCAACACAAAACAATGACAAAAATTGCATAGAACTAAAAATTTCTATCTAAAGTACAATGACAGTTTTCATGTTTACACTGTGCTATTGTACTATAGTGTGGCAGAGAACATGAAATATTGTTTTCATAATCTCAATTCTTTCCAAATAATGATATCCTAAGGGGTAGGACCTTAATTATACAAATGCCTTTAAGGCCTCATCTTCTCACCAAGAAGAATGACAAAATCAGAATTTTCCACAGTGAAATTTACCTCTTTTGGCTCTTAACATTATAGATATTCTCTGGGGATACTGGAGGATTTGCCTCTGGACACAAGCAGAAGAAGGGCAGGTTGAGAGAGGAGGTGTCATTGAAAGCATCAGCCCCAACAGCCATCTGACTGGCGTGTTCACAATGCCCACCCTACCTGGTACAATCTTCTGGCTTTTGCTTTGTAGAAATAAAGCCAGAGATTCCATATGAGGCTTAAACCAGACCCTCCCAACTGAAAACAAAGAAACACACAAGAACAACAACAACAACAACAACAACAACAACAACAAAAATACCTCAACTTCAATCCCTAGCATCATGAGTTGGTTTGGCAATTTGCCTCCCAGTTTTGGATCTTTATCTAAATTTCTACAGAAATCTGGTTGTTCTTAAATCTTCCAAGCCTGGGCCTACCCTGCTGTGTCTCAAATCCTGAGGGAATGCACAATATATTAAATAAATCTCTTTTCACAGGGTACACAATGCCAGTGAGGTCCTGGACTTAGACTCCCAGAGACTATAAAATGAGAAATAAGAAATAAGAAAGCTAGCATCTCCCAAAGGAGAACCAGGCCAGACAGATTCAATTTCCAAAGTTCAGTGTATTGAAGGTCACTTTGGGCACTTGAGTTGTGAAACATCCTCAGTCAGTCAGAAAGTGGCAGGGGAAAGATACAGCTCAGCGAGACAGTATAAAGCCAACCAAAACCCCCCTCCCTGGGTGAAAATTCTCTGAGTGATTTCAGTCCAGAGATTGCTATGGCTGAAACCCTAAGCAGCATTTTGCCTGTGACTTGTGAAAACAGGTTCACTCCCTGATGGAGTGGCTAGAATAAAACTGAATTGCTTAAACTATGGAAATTTTCCCAGTGTTCTGTCACTTTGTAAAACATGCCATGACCAAATTTTGACACTTGTATTGCAATTTTCATCACTTGTTCATTTCTTAACCCAGCCTCAAACTGTCACAATTCTGATAAGCCCAGAACAAGTAAGGCATTTATCATCAAGTAATGGCTTCAGTGTCAAGCTATCATTTCCAGACACTGGCCCAGAAGTGGGCGGTCCCCAAACACAGTTAACCTGGTGCTGCTCCATCATGGTACAGTCTCCTTGCAGTGAATCATGGTCCTAACTACTGAGTACATAGAGGTTGAGTTTATTCTAAAACCAAGATGAAGTAGTCCCTATCAAGCTCGTGCCAAGATGTTCTTTAAAATGGTACCTCCTACATGCATTCAAGTTTGTGGGTTGGCATAATAAAAAACATTAATCAAGGCCAGCTCTGCCCCTCATTACAGGCAAACTACTTTAACTCTAAACATTTCAATTTCCCATCCGGGGCATACTTGTTATTATGCTCATCTTGTGAGATCATTGTGAGCATAAGGGAGATTCCTGAGTGACACAATAATACTAGATTACATGTAAACTGTCCTGGTGTCCAACTCTACTTGAAAATGATATTCCAACTAGTGTCCATGGAAAAGTAAGTTCTGGGATTTATAATATTTTCTTTTGTCTCTGCCCCATCCCAGGCTACATTTCCAAAAGCCAACCTAATGTTTCAACTTAATTCTAGACCCTTTGTTATACCCAACCTTGTGAGCTGTTTAATCAGGTTAGAATTTAACAGGGAAATAAACAGCTCTATATATCCAACCAGAACTTGGATAATTTAGTAAACTAAAAAGTAAAGCAGGCTCTGGTTATAAGGAGAAGGTAGTGCCCTTCCTTCCTTCTCAGGTCTCCCCAGGACAACTGGAGGCTTGAAGGAACCTGCTATGATTGACAGAGGCACCAGGATATTATATCCTCTCAAATCTTAGTAAAGAAGGAACAGGAGCCCTGATTTCTCCTTAGAATATGATGAAACTAATTAATTATCCCAGTATGTGGGGGCCAGCAAGCTTGTATGAAGAAACACAATATGAGTTCTTCTCATTTTCCAAGATCCCGTTTCCTTACTGGAAGGGATACTGTTCCAAGTGCACCAACTTCAAGGACCAAGGACACTTTGTCACAGTAGTTCCTTCCTTGGAAAGGAAGGTGGAGATCAGCTGTCATCTTTCCAAGAGCGCCATTTATTCTGCCGATAGAGATAAGGTAATTATCCTTTCACCCTCAGCAACAGCAACTAAATATTTAGATTTCAGGTCACAAGGACCCAGGTTACATTGGAAAGAGATGTAGGCAGTTAACCTGATAGCAAAAAACAGCTGGTTATGCTTCAGGCTCTATTCAATATGATGTTTACATTGGTGAGGTCACTGGAAAGCTAGGTAACCTTAGGAGGAAGGCTGTTACCCAACATAAGTATTTTTATTGGTTTGTCTGTGAGAATCTACAACAAACTTGGGAGATTAAAAACCAAAACATCTTCAAGTAACCTCCAGTAGCTTTAAAAAAATCAGAATGTCTGTCCCTACATAAGGGCAAAAAATGTCTAGAACGGTGCTGTCCAATATAAAAT